AGTAGAAAATCGAGCATTTCTTTCGTACAAATACAGACTCTGCATAAGTAAATTAACTTACCACACATGTAGGTACTATTTTTTCTGCTGCATTGGATATGCATCTTGGCACAGCATAAGTGGAAAACTACAAATGAGCTATGTGCTTCTTACTGGTACTAACAATATATGTGCATAATAAGGCAAATGCAAATACACTTACCCTCCAAATCCACTCCGTCATGTCGACGGTTGTGAGACGAGACTTGGGATGTCGGTGGCAGCTCAGCAACAGTTCCTGAGCATGAGCCTTCATCCTAAAACATCGACAATAAAAACTGTTGTTGGGAAGCTTGATCCTGAAGTAATGAAGGCAACAAGGGATTAAAGAAAACCTCTCGTACTTAATTCCTTGTACTCAGCTATATCAGATTGTTCCCAACTTTATTAGAGCTTTTAAGGCTGGAAGTCTCTCCAAAACAATTATTTATTTTCTCTCTGTTTGGGGTTTGAATTATCTCAACGGTGGATTGTAGGCCGGCAGAGGTCATTAGTGTCAATGAATTTGTTTCATTAGGTTGTTTCTATATTAAAGAAACACTAAATTGGTCTAGCTGGAATTAGACGGCTGTTGTTGTTTTTTTGTTTTGAAAGAGGGCACTTTTTCCATGGCACATGCCAACCACCCTCAAAAGATCACAGCAGCTGATGAATGCTGCCCTGTGCATTTTTTGGTTTAAAACTGTGCATCAAGCTCGTGTTGTAACAACATTGGATTGGCCAGGCTGACCCGGCCTAAGAGCTGCAAACAAAGCCACGAAACTTCCAAGAGCCAGGAAGGGCTCAAACTTTTATCCAGAGCAATAAAGGAAACTCGAACTGCTTTCAATATATCAAAGTCAAAAGCAGTTCAACTGTATGTAAAGTAGCAGTAGCTCAAGTCTACCAAACCGCAACCTGTCTTTCGATTTAAGATATGTTCCATTTCTCTTTTTGGGGAAGTGCTTGTGTGACCAGGAGGGAGGCGGGGAAGTGGAGGGGTGAAGGGGGGGGGGGGGGGGGGGGGGGATGGAGCCACGAGCCATACTTTAACACGCAAAGAGCCACATGCGGCTCTCCAGCTGCAGTTTGGCCACTTCTGTAATAACATATTCACAGCAACCTGCATTTATTGTATCCATTGCACATAAATGCCACATACCTCTGTGGAGGCAATTTCAGAAAGTGGAGAAAAAATTAAAAACAGTGTTTAAAAAAGTATTATTGACCATCTGAAGGAAATAATCCAACAGCCCGGAAACATGCCAAGAGAAACAAAAGTGACCTTTAGGACAGCACTTATGTTCACACTGGCGGTTGATCAGAGTTTGCAAACCAGGCCATGGATGCGGTTTGCGAGCCAACCGCGTCTCAGACACACAGAGACGCGGTTGGTGATTCCTCGGCAATCATGTGTGATCTTGGCGTTCTGCGTTCGGCAACCTTGTTTTACAATCAAAAACCAAATATAAAAATCTTTTCTTTTTTCTTCAAGGGGGGGGGGGGCTGTTTGCACGTTATAGAGGCTGGAGCACTTGGTACACATGCATCGCAAGTTCAGGTAGCAAAAAAAAAAAAAAGAGAAGAACCTGCAAAACCACATCTCCAATTCCTTCAACTGCGCCCACGGGCAAGGCCCAGCTAGGTGTGCCTTGCTGACTTAAAAGAAGATGCACCCGACCCTTTCTTCAAAGTGGACCCTTCCTGCATGAGTAGCTGACCATGTTTTCGGGATAAGAGGGCCTGATTTACCTGCCTCTTCGCTCGCTTTTTTTATTTTCGGAGTAGTGCGGAAAGTGTGTGGTGCGGGAAATGTGTCCGGCTAGTGGCTTGTTTGGTGGCTGACTCGCCTCTCGTCACTCACACGTCGATCGAGGCTGCTGTTTGTTTATATTAAAAGCGCACTAAACAGGGTTTTACGAGCCCTAAGCATCCTAAAATTCCAAAAATTACAATCGTGCATGATTTTAATTTTTGAATTTTTAGGATGCATGGGGCCCGTAGAATTAGTTATTACCAAGAACAATCACAAAACCCTCTTTAGTGCCCCTTTAAGCTCAAATAAATGCCGCATGGATTACCTGTGGATAGTCTGGTATGTATACACTTGATTTCTTGAGTAGATTTCTTTTATTCCTTTTGGTGGTAGAAACATCACAGGTTAAGCTAGCACAGTTATCTTGGGTGTCCCGCCAGTTCCGCAATAGTGTGTGCGCTACGCAATTATGTTCACGGCATCTCTATCAGCCTTCAAGGTTGTCATGCATGGTATCAAAAGCTTTCAGCAGTTTATGTGAATGCCGAGGTAGGTACAGAAGCTGCAACTTCGAGTGGTTGGAGGCGGGCTTTGATGTTCTACGGGCAAAGACGAACAAGGCAGCGCAACGACAGGCTTTGGCGCCCCAAATAATAAACAGCTCGAATTACCCAAACCAGAAACCAGTTAAGATTACGAGTCAATTATCTTCGCAGCAGATTCAAATGATGGACTTGAACATCATGTTTCTTCGCTGAATAGCCGGCTGCAATGCTAGAACTACAGCGCATAGGATGCCTCACCAGCAAAGGGTGCCATTTCGCTTCGAAAGTCACTGACGTCACGTCAGCATCACGTTGCAGTTGGTTGCCGCTTTGCAGTTCACGAAAGTGGTTGGAAGGAATCTGTCACGAAGCGGTTGGCAAAAACGCACCTCAACTGCACAATTCCAGCGGCTTTATTGCGGTTGAAAACGTGCAGATCTGCTTTGCGGTTGCGGATCTACTTCCAGTGTGAATGTATCATTACAGCTCTTATAGACAACATATTGCACTGAATTACCTCTGCTGGCTGTTCTTCCCCTGTGTCATAAATGACACGTGGCAATGCCAGCCTCTCCTTCACCATCGCCCGAAGTAGCAAGTCTTTGGTTTCT